TAACAAGTTATAGTTAGTGATAATCGGCTCAAGTTAACTCGGATTAATTAGATTAAAATAAAAAAAGACTTAGTAAATCACGCGCTTCAGTATTCGTTCGTTTTATGTTATATACTCAAATATGGCCGTTAACATAGCACAGTGTGTGCGTTAAAATCAGGATAACTCCGTCACGGAAACATTGTACAGAAACTCTCGAACTGAATAAACGCTTTCATTTATGTGTGTCGGTAAATAATACAAATGAACTGATTTATTAAATTCCGCCGCCATCCCGATTCCTGTGAGCAATCTTACATAAGAAAAACCACAAAATATAAATAGAATTCAACGGATAATTATTTGTGCATTTACTGCGCTTGACTTCTAACGCCTTTGGTATTTTTTTTATTTTTTATTTTAAAGGAGTCCTTCTACCTTAAATTTTTATGTTAATTAATTTATGACTATATTTTGCAATTTTAATATCTCTATTATTTAATAATATATTATCACGGTTTCCACGTGTTTAATACACATGCACAAACACTTAAATCAATGCACATGCAAAGTAAAAATATCGCTATTGGTTAGGGAGATGGTATACATTTCTTTCTTTCTCGTAGGATCCACCAATCAGAGATCTGATCAAAACATGCCGATCAGAGTCGTGGCTAGTCTCTTATGGTGCGTTCCTTTATTCACTCTGAATACTGTCAGTACTATGAATAGCGTTCCGATATAGAGAATAGTGCACTCCGAAAATACTGCCTTGAATTATGACGGCTTTGATTTTGACGTACTCCTGTTGCGACTATTGCAACTAGTAAAATAAAGCAGATAGAGTACAAAGATGGCTGCTTCCATAGAGACTGAAATAATCTTGCTTGATACTAAAGAAAATAAAGCATATAATATGAAATAATATAACATAATAAAATTATTATGATATTATATAATATCATGAAATTATTTATTATTATTCATTATTTTTTAATTATTGTTATTATTGATATTAATATTATTATTAATTTTATTATTATTTATTATTTATTTTTTTATTATTATTAATTATTTATATATATATATTATATTTAATATATATAATAAAATTATATTTTTTTAATATTACATATGCCAGCCATTTCATTTGGAGCTTGAAAACATACTGTAACTGCGTTCCGTTTTATAATCTTGACACAATTAGAAAGCGCACGAAATTAAAATGGAACGGTAGCCGGACTTCCATTACCTCATAGCATGAACACTCGGAGTGAATAAAGGAACGCACCTTTACTATTATACCGTGTCTCTACCCGAACAAAAATGCGTGACGTCATTAAAACGTGAGTGATTGGTCAGTGCATATCATTTAACAATCATATACGAAACTTGCACATTTTTGAAAACCATAAATAAGAATTAATTAAATTGATTGGACAACTTTATTTAAACGCAAACCAATCACAGCGAAAAAACCAAAAGAAAACTCGTTCATTCTGTTCGGTCTTTTGCTGTGATTGGTTCGCGCGTTCCGTTCCGCTGTGGATTTCCGCGCCATGGGACACCAGTCTAGCGTTTTTCACTGGTAGAACTGGTGCGCACTGAATACACACTCGCCGCGGATAACTGTGCGGTGTTTCACTCGGCATTTCAGTGCGTACGAAAATGGTGCATGTTGTTTCACTGGGAAGCCTAGTGCTGAGTTTTTGCATTTTAGTGCAAGAATTCGGCACGAATTCTGAGAGACGGTGTCGGTTGAATGCAAGATGGCAGCGCGCGATTGTAACAATATTTCGAATGCTCCTTTAGCAATTGCTAGATTTATTATCTTCATCATCATCTAGCAGTGATAAAGATGAATTTTTAAAAAGAAAAACCACAAAAAAGTTCCTAAAAATAGAGAACTTTATTAACATGGTACAACATAATTTTACAGATAAGGACATAAATCATGATTAATTATTATTTATTAAATTGTTGCTGCGCAGGTATTATATTATTGTATTGTATTGTATTATGTAAAACTATGGGTACGGTCAAAAGGCTTATTAACAAATGCTTTGAAGCTATTTTTTGATTGATGCATTAGTAAATTCTTTGTTTGACTAATCAAACGTCTTCGAAGTCATTTGTAGTGTTACATTGATTGTACGCTGTGTGTGTGTAGTGTGTGTGTGTGTGTGTGTGTGTGTGTGTGTGTGTGTGTGTGTGGGGGGGCGGGGGGGAATTATATATATTACAAATTAATTATATAATAATAATAATATATTATTATATGTATTATATATAATATATAATAATAATATCTAATATATAATATTATATATATATATATATATATATATATTATATTATATTATTATATATATTGTACAACTCTACTTCGACCGGATCAAGTGTTAGGTGCAATATGTCATCATTGACTTTAAAATCAATCCTTCCATAATTAATTTTTATCAAAATATACATCATAAACCGCACTGAGAGCGACAGACATGTTTAACTGGGAGCGCAAAAAACTTACACTTTCAATATACTCGGACAGTGCCGCCTGAACTCGATGAGTTTTCAATGCGCACTCAGTTCTGCAATGAAAAACGCTATAAGGCAGAGGTTGGCAAAACGTTGAAATTGGGCACGGGCGTTCACGGGCGCCCGCAAGTGCCCGCCTGTGTGCACATCATAGGAGCGTATCTGATATTTTTTGTATCTTGGGATAAAGTTTCGCATTTCACACTTACAAAAATAGTGTTGCATATATGAACGATAATGCAGTCTTAAATTACTAGTACTCGAATCTTTGTAATATCATAAAATTTTTTTATAACAGTTTAGCTAAATCATTTAAGGATGAAATATGCAAAAATATGTTGTAATATGTAGGACTCAAAATGTATAAGTTCTTATAAATTCAACTTATATTTAATTAATTTTTTTATTAGTTAAAAGAAATGTGCTCCAGCATGTTTTGATTGTCCTAATAATAAGCATTATTATAGGAAAATTTTAATTAAAATGCTTATCTCTATTTTTAAATATTGTGAAAGATATTTATTAGATTCGGAAAAATAAACGGAGACTGGATTTGAATTCGGGATCCCTCATTTACTAATCTGACACTTAGTCTGCACGACCACGACGGCTCCTCTCTGTTAACTGTTTATATTCCGAATCTCTTTCATGACCGCTTACGGTCTAATTCTTATAATTGTAAGTTGTCAAAATTTGTGCTTTAGCATATAATTTATTAAAAATTGTGTAACATTATTACATTTAAATATGTTTAACGAAAATTTAAATATAACAAAGAAATAAAATAATAATATAAACAATAACAATGTATTAAAATATAAACTTATAATACAATCATAAAATTATGAATACATATATCATATTTAACAGAAATTAGCGTTTTAAAATTATATTTTTAAATCCAGAAGACTAGTTCTTTTTGCGCGAAGAAAACTTCCAACAGTTTCAAAATAAACATCTGCTAAACAATCAATTTGCTAAACGCTTAAAATAAAAGAAAAACAATAAAACTAAGCAACGGTATAATCAAATTCTGCTCTTGTCTAGAACAGTCAGACACATTTGCGATCTTGTAATTTAACGTTTGTGATGGATAATCAAAGTAATAATAATAAATATAATGAGTATAGTATAATGAGTATGTATAATGAGTATATTCGATTTTACATATTCATATGAACAATTATCTTCTATTATGAAATTAAATAAATCGCGATTACGCGAACAGTTAACAGATTTACATTTGAATGCAATAATTCGTTTAAGTTGTGTCAAAACAATAACACGTATCGTATATAATATTGAATATATCGTATATAATATTGAAAAACTGAATCAAATACTAAATAAATGTTATAAGAATTGTTTATTTAATATTGTTATAAGAATTATTAATTTATTTAAAATATAGATAGTTATTATTTTATGCTAATTCTGAGTCTGAATTTGTGCGACACAATATCTTTTGACTCCTTGAACAACACGTTCGACGAACAGACGTTCCTGCTATTCCTTCTCCTTCCTTTATTGCGCCTAGCGATCTCAGGGTAGTTCCCCGTGCAGCGTAATTTGCGTAAGCATAAACTGCGTCAACCAATCAAATCATCTAATAAAAGTCTAGACGGATTGTGTAGAGTAGCTGAGACAATTTGGTTGGATGACGCAGTTTACGCTTACGCAAGTTACACTGCATAGGGAACCAGCCTCAGACTGGTGTCCTATGGCGCGGAAATTCACAGCGAACGCGTGAACCAATCACAGCAAAAGAACAAACAGAATGAATGAATTTCTTTGGTTCTTTCGCTGTGATTGATTTGCGCGTTCCGTTCCGCTGTGGATTTCCGCGCCATGGGACACCAGCCTCAGATTTTCGATACGCGTGATCCGCGATACGCGCGATACACATGGAACGACACCCTAAAGACTATATCAGACTACGGGTTGTCGGTTACGATTCCCGATTGACGATTCTATTTTAGCCAATTATAATGTAGCGAGTCCAGGGGGTCAATCATGTAACTTTACATGAAATTTTTCACTTTTCATTTTTCACTTTTTACTTTTCATTTTTCACACCTTGACATTTCATATGAAACTTTTCACGTACAGTGATTATGTATATAGCTTGGATGCGTGGAAAGTGAAATCATAAAACATTTTTTATACAGGTTTTATAGCTAATGAAAATTATTTTATTGGTACAGTATTATATACATTTAATAACCAATTTTTATAACCAATTGTATATGTATTACGTATACTTAATCCTAACGCAGCCCTAATCTTCTTTAATTCCGAAGCATATTTATTAATTCCCTAGATTTTCGCCTTTCCGCCACCAAGGTACATGGCGAAAAAATTCACGTGAAAAATTTCACATTTTCACGTTTAAGGGAGTTACTGATCCCGCAAAATCGTACATGATTGTAAGTTCACGTGAAACTTTTCACTTTTCACGTTCCGCCCTAGGGGAAAAGTTACATGATCGACCCCCTGATCAAGGCTATATCAGATCAACGGTTGCACGACTACGGTTGCCGGTTGACGATTCTACTATTACCAATTACATTGACCAAGATCTGTTACATTGTGATTGGCTGAAATAGAATCGTCACCAGCAACCGTAGCCGCGCAATCATTAGTTTGATATGGCTTTTACGGTCAATGTAATTGGTAATATTAAAATTGTCAACTGGCAACCGGCAACCATAGTCTGATACGGCCTTAAAACCGAAGCATAAACCAAGTCTAAGTTGGTGGCAAAATTTGACAAAACAAACTCGAGCCGATAATCGATATGAAAAAAATGGTGAGTTTAACCCAAGTTGTATGGGGCTTGTCTTCAAATTTCGTGATGAATCAATATTTTTCTCGTCGATTGTTAACGTGAGTAAAATTTACGTTTTCTCATTGACTTAGTAAATTTACGTGTGCGATTGTTTTGTGGATAAATGTTTAGTTTAGGTCCCCCATCTTGAAATTAAATGAATTTATATTCATTTATCATATTTTCTTAATAGTTGTATCAAAAATATAATCAATATGAGTTAGGCATATCTAATGATATTAGTGAAGATAATTAACTTGCAGTTCACCATGGTACAATATATTAATGGTTATATCATCTCGACGAATGTCAGCAGACATTGATGTCAAATCCGCAGATGCCTTGATTATTAGTGACAGCTGTGTGAAACGTTTGAAGGAGATAGCTAGCGATGGCACATGTTTGAGAATTACTGTCGAAGGTGGTGGTTGCTCCGGATTTCAATACAAGTTCAATTTAGATCCAAACGTACACGAGGATGACAAGTGTGTATTTAGATACCTATAGTTCTTCTGCAAGCAGTGTATGGTTAGGCAATAGAAATTTTTTTTTTATTACAGAGTATTTCAAAAAGATGGTACCAAAGTAATAATCGACTCGACATCATTAGAATATGTAAAAGGATCAACAATAGAGTTTCACATGGAACTGATACGATCTGCCTTTAGAATAACAAACAATCCTTTGGCTGAACAGGGATGCAGTTGTGGTGCTAGTTTTGCTATTAAAATAGAATAAATATGGATGTATGCGTTACTATTGAATGATAAGAATTGCTACAATTTAATATAAATTGAGAAATTTACTGAAGATCCAGTTATTTTTATTTATATTAATTAATATACACAAAGCAATTGCTTTAATGAATATGCATTAATTTTATCACAACACCTACTATAAACAGTAACTGTACATATGTTTTATATCTCTTTTTATATGAATGGTTTATAATTTACAATTGTAGATATCAATTTAGATTTTTAACTATTAATGGTTTAACTACAAATGTCTTATAAGTGATACTAAAAAAATTGTACATGTCTTGTTAATGAATTTCAATTGTAAAGTTTATCCTGTACCAAATGTTGATATACTCCTGTAAATAAGTCTGAGCAAATAATAATCATTGCCCATATAAAGTAGTAGAATTAAACTTATAAATAAACGTTCATATAAAAAGAATGTCAATGAGAAATTTTATTTCAATTTTATAAATAATATCAAGTTAGAGAGCTCTTTAGCATTTTTCAAGCTAAAGATATGAGTATATGGAAAACCGTGATTTTAAAAAATGAGCTATATATGTACATAAAGTTATATTTATCGATGATCATGATTAAAGTATACCACTGAATGGAATGTCAATGATTGTTCTTTGCAATTCTGATCTGGATCACTTTTGTTTTCCTCTTTTATTGTTCTGAAAGAATTACGTCTCTTATACTAAATATCTTACAAGAATGTAGTCCTTTGTATATTTTGTGTATGTAGATTTACCTTAGCTAATTCAAATTTTAATTGTTGTATTTCCTCCGTTTGAAAGATAAGTTTCTCGTTCATATTGGCAAGATGTTCGCTCATAGTATTGAGCTGCACCTTGTAATTTATCTCCTGCGTTTCTTTTTCTTTTTGTAAACTGTTGTAATTGGATAATGTCTCTAACAACGCCGCTTCACATTTCTCTCTCTTTGATTCACTTGTGTCTAATTGCACATGCATAACTTCATTCTAAAATACAAATAATAAATGTGTACAATAACACGACGAATATAATCATCAAAAATAAGATTTAAAATATATCTTATTACATTGGCGGCCATAGCTAAGTTCTTTATGTGATAAATGTATTTTTCGTTTGTTAATCTTTCAATTTCTTCTAGGAAATAGTTTTTAATCTTTAATTCGCGAGCTTCGATCTCTTCTGGTATGGTAAAAGGTGCATTCAATTTTCCAATCTGTTAACAAAGTTGAAATGTATAATTTAATTAAATAAAAGATGTACATATCTTTGAAAAAATATAAATAATAGTACACACCATATTATTTATTTCTGTAGATTTCAATACATTGCCATCAATTTCTGAAGTTATTGCAGCCTCTCTTTGCTCTAGTTCGTCATATTTTATCTTGAGTATATGATACTGAGCTTTCCAGTGATTGACTTCTTTCTCTAAGTCACATGATTTTGTACATAGAAATTCATTACTTTCGTCTTGTGATTTTTGCGGTTTTCCTTCCCCGAATGATTTCGATGATCTACGCGAAGCAGAGGGAGAAGAAAACGGCGATGGTTCTGTTTGACGATGATTCAAAAGTGTTCCTCTTGCATCAAAATCATAACCATCACGCCTACCTTCATTACTAGACCACGACACGGTCTCCTCTTGTTTCTGCTTGTCGTTTAATTTTCTCTGCAGATCATTTCTCTCTCTTTCTAGTTTATCTATAGTACTTTGATATTGACATTGTGACTCTACTTTAGATTTCTCGCAATAGTCGACCTTATATTCTAATTGCTGTATCCTTTCATACAAACTTTCAATTTCGCTATCCTTGTCACTAATTTGTGATAATAATTGAGCATTTTCGACTATCTTTTTCTGAAATTCTTCATCTAAGATATTGTTGGGTGGCAGAGATGCTGGAATCTGACTATTGTTCTCTGGCCCTTTGCCTTTACCCTTCTTGGGCTTGTTCTGTGCTTTGTCAAGTTCCTCCTGCAGTACAGTTATACGTTTTGTCAATTGCTGATTGCGAAACGTTAAACTGTCGATTTCTTGCTCAGCCCTACGAAACTCCACCTCTTTCTCCTTCAACTGATTCCGGATATCTGTGTTACGTACTTGCTCTTCTATCACAGCCTTCTTCAGAACGTTTGCTTGTGCACGAATCTGCAAAATGGTCATCCCTCATCAGACACATATTTATTAGAAATGGGAAGAGGATCCGACATGCAAAATTGCAAAGTGACGGCCGTGTTTCATAGCAAACATACAGAAACTCTCTTTAAGTCTTATGAGAACCCTCACTTTTGAGTATTCTGTGGCGATTTTCTGGTACTTTGTCTGCAGTTGACCGTTGACACCCTCCATACCTTCCTTCCCGTCCAACCTCCTATTTAACGTATCTCGATCAACGCACTCCGTTCGCTTCGCGAGTATCAATTTATCAATCTAGGCATTATTCACGAAACCTTCGGGTGTTGCGTTCGCGGCGCCGGGACACGCATCGCGCGTTTCCTGATGATGACGTCGGCGTGCGGCGTTGTTTATCGACAAGTCAGCACCACCGATGGTGAGGAGAAGAGGGAGGGAAGAAGGGGGGCAGCGCGATTATATCAAATTGCGATCGCGGGGAAACCCTGTCGAATCTTTCTATTAAATGACGAGGACGCGGACTCGGAAAAACGCGAACGTGCGTTCTAAATGAAACGCCCCCAAACGCGATATATCACACGCGTGCCTACCGAGCCATACTGCATCCGTTCCGTCCCGTCCCTCCCTATCGTGCGTATGTGCGTATCGACATGCGTCGCGTGGTATACATACAACGTGAGGTGGACGTCACATCGTCGAGAGATCTCGCACCGTCAATTGAACGAAAGCTGGCTATACTTTCAAAGGCTACGTTCGGAAACATCACCAAATGCCGTGTATCATTTTATCTTTATTTAACATTCAAGGAACAATAAGAATAAGATGAGACATGGAGTCATTTAGGTAATATTTCTGAATGTAGGCAAACGCGACTCGCGCAAAGTGGTTCACCGAGATATCAGTTGCGTATCATAAAGTTCATTCTTCATAGCTGAGCATTTTGTGTATTTTATAGCAAACATAGCAAACATAGCAAATTCGATTCACTGAATTATACTGGGTTAGTGCACACTAAACGCTAATATACATGAAATTATTGAAATTATTGAAATTATTGAAATATAAAAATACATGAACATTTCGAAACGATTATAAAACGATATATAATCAATAATAAATTTGTCGTATTATTTAACTGAATACGAATTAATTTTATCAAAAAAGTAATATTGTGCTAGTACAGTTAGATATTTCATATGTAGTAATTTTTAATGTGTATTAATTCCGTGTAATGTAGTGAATCAAATTCGCTATTACATTTCTCTTGTCAGATAACACAAGATCCAAAATTAAGATATAAAATGTCTTTCATAAAAATGTCTTAAGATATTTCTCATGTTCCGTGATTTTAGACTATGTTCATAATCGATTTTTATTTTAAGCTGGTGGAACAGATGTCTATATTAAACTAGGGCTACAGCCAATGTAAGGGACTTTACACAATGCGAGGGAATAACGATAGGAACAGCGATAAGAATAATATCGAAATAAGCGATCATCTCGCATTGCACAATGCCGTGAAAGAAATAAAAGCCAACCAATCAGATCGCGTGTGAACAATCTATTCTTTCGTCTGCTTCAGATAAACGTAAAAATGTCAAAAGGACAAAGTTTATTAAATGTAAGTATATTAAATTTACAATATTATATCAAAATCGTCTTATTTTTGACTAACTTTTTCAGCAGGTTTTTGTTGACAAATTTTGATAAGTTTCATAATATTTGAACTGGAATATTACAGAAAAATTTCTGAAACGTATTCATATACATTATTCTACATATTATATTTTCACGCAAATTATAGCTGCGTTTCGTAACTCACTGCCAGTACTGTAGTGTCGTTCCGAAATTCATTCCAATATGCTGCGATAACACTATGATAGAATAATGACGTCATAAATTTTATCGTCATTTCCTGCTGCGGTTACTATAGCTAAAAAGTTGCAGCAGTCACAAAATGGCGACTTTCGAAAAAAAAGAGTTAACCCTCGATGCAGAAACAAATATTCAAAATAATAATAAAATAAAATAATAATAAATAAAGAAAATGTACAAAAAGTATTGCGAAATAAAAATAAAGTTTGATATTTATATTATAGCGGATTCAATCATTCGCGCTACACCAAGTTTGTATAAACATTATTATATACGAAATTATTGTTTTAATTGCTTTTCAGGAGAGATCGTGCATCTATCTGATTTTCTATCTCTTTCTAAGATTGGCCCTATTAATTCCAATATAAAAAACATGTATTCCAATGTAATCTAAAATAAATATATTTTAGTAAAATTACAGAAACAGTTTATCGTATCTACAAAGAATAAAAGATTATAAATATACCAAAAGTGAGTTTTAAATTCTTTGTTTGTATATCGAGATACTATATCTTCTACAATGTATTTTAGATATAGAATTTGATCTACTTTTCTTTAATATAATTAACATTTCCTCTATCAGAGTTACTATCAGATTCACCGCTTGATTCCATTATATGTGCAATATTATCAATTATAAAAACTTTTTCCATTTTCTTATATGACAGTGTCATACGCAGTGTTATACGCAGTACTATTCAATCCCGTTCCGTTTCCACAATTTCATAGTACAGCGATAGTGAACTAGTAAAAATGGAACGCTTGCATAGCACACTATAATGACGTCATGCTGGCAGTACTGCCAGCTGTAAGTTACGGAATGCAGTGTATATTTAAATAAGATGATTTGACATATTATATGTACAATGCAAATAGCTGTACTAATATCATTGCCATCAAATGTGTTTTGTGTACCGTGTTTTTGTGTATCGGACAATAATCCATTGTCCGGAAAGTTATTGCAATAAGAATGTTCTATTTTTTGTTAATCCAACAAGTTTCGAAACTATTCCCTATATACTCCGTAAAAAAGTTATGGCTGCGCTCCAATATTCATTACCAGGACGCAGTCCTATAGACGCAGTCTATAACCTAAACAGAAAAATCCGAACGCTAATTGATAGGCTATAAGGCGATAGCATAGAATTTCAACTCGTCGGAAATGTTACCGCTATTGCTTATTCCATGTTCCAATTTGCATTGCCATATACATTTCTGTATGTTGGATTCTTCTGTTCTTATCGCTATTGTATATATATATTGT